AGGTGGCTTCAACTCCATTCAATAAGGTAATATGTGTTTCATTTGTTCCAAAACTAACAATCTCATCCCCCATCAATGTAAGAAGTGTAAATGGCTCGTCTAGATTAAGTTCTTCGTCTGGCAATGTAACTGGCTCCTCGGTGGTAGAGGGCTCCTCGGTGGTAGAGGGCTCCTCGGTGGAAATTGGTTCCTCGGTGGTAGAGGGCTCCTCGGTGGTAGATGTTTCTTCTGATGTAGTTGACTCTTCGGTAGTGGTTGGTTCTTCTGATGAACTTGGCTCTTCAGATGTAGTAGGCTCCTCGGTGGTGAATGGCTCCTCGGTGATGGTTGGCTCCTCGGTGGTAGAGGGCTCTTCGGTCGTAATTGGCTCCTCGGTGGTGGATGGCTCCTCGGTGTAGGTTGTCTCTTCGGTGTAGATTGTCTCTTCGGAGTAAGTTGGTTCATCAGATGCGGTTACCTCTTCGGTGTAGGTTGACTCTTCTGATGAACTTGGCTCTTCGGTGATGGATGGCTCCTCGGTGTAGATTGTCTCTTCGGAGTAAGTTGACTCTTCTGATGAACTTGGCTCTTCAGATGAACTTGGCTCTTCGGTGTAGGTTGTCTCTTCGGAGTAAGTTGGTTCATCAGATGAACTTGGCTCCTCGGTGTAGGTTGTCTCTTCAGATGAACTTGGCTCCTCGGTGTAGGTTGGTTCCTCGGTGGTAGATGTCTCTTCTGATGAACTTGGCTCTTCGGATGAACTTGGCTCTTCTGATGTAGTTGGCTCTTCGGTGGTGGTTGTCTCTTCGGTGGTGGTTGTCTCTTCGGATGAACTTGGCTCTTCGCTATAAGTTGGCTCCTCAGTGGCAATTGGCTCTTCAGATGAGCTTGGTTCTTCCGTGTAAGTTGGCTCTTCAGATGGCGTTAGCTCTTCAGATGTAGTTGCCTCTTCGCTTTCAGTTGGCTCCTCGGTGGTAGAGGGCTCTTCAGATGTAGTTGCCTCTTCGCTGTCAGTTGGCTCTTTAGATGCAGTTGACTCCTCGCTGTCAGTTGGCTCTTCTGATGAGCTTGGTTCTTCGGTAGTAGATGGTTCTTCAGTGGTAGATGACTCTTCTGATGTAGTCGACTCTTCTGATGTAGTTGACTCTTCTGATATAGTAGGCTCCTCGGTGACAACTGGTTCTTCAGTGGTAGATGACTCTTCTGATGTAGTTGACTCTTCTGATATAGTTGACTCTTCGCTATAAGTTGGCTCTTCAGATGTAGTTGCCTCTTCGATATAAGTTGACTCCTCGCTGTCAGTTGGCTCTTCTGATGAGCTTGGTTCTTCGGTAGTAGATGGTTCTTCAGTGGTAGATGACTCTTCTGATGTAGTCGACTCTTCTGATGTAGTTGACTCTTCTGATATAGTAGGCTCCTCGGTGACAACTGGTTCTTCAGTGGTAGATGACTCTTCTGATGTAGTTGACTCTTCTGATATAGTTGACTCTTCGCTATAAGTTGGCTCTTCAGATGTAGTTGCCTCTTCGATATAAGTTGACTCCTCGCTGTCAGTTGGCTCTTCTGATGAGCTTGGTTCTTCGGTAGTAGATGGTTCTTCAGTGGTAGATGACTCTTCTGATGTAGTTGGCTCTTCTGATGTAGTCGACTCTTCTGATATAGTAGGCTCCTCGGTGACAACTGGTTCTTCAGATGTAGTTGGCTCTTCCGATGTAGTAGGCTCCTCGGTGACAACTGGTTCTTCAGATGTAGTTGACTCTTCGCTATAAGTTGACTCTTCTGATATAGTTAACTCTTCTGATATAGTTGACTCTTCGATATAAATTGCCTCCTCCGATGTAGTTGCCTCCTCGGTAGTTGCCTCCTCGGTAGTTGCCTCCTCGGTGGCAGTTAGCTCTTCTGATGTAGTTGGCTCTTCGGTAGTAGTAGGCTCTTCGGTGGCAGATGGCTCTTCAGTGGTAGATGACTCTTCGCTGTCAGTTAACTCTTCAGATGCAGTTGCCTCCTCGGTGGTAGTTGGCTCTTCGCTGGCAGTTAGCTCTTCGGATGTAGTTGCCTCCTCCGATGTACTTGGCTCTTCAGATGTAGTTGCCTCCTCCGATGTAGTTGCCCCCTCGGTAGTTGCCTCCTCCGATGTAGTTAACTCTTCAGATGTAGTTGGCTCCTCGCTGTCAGTTGTCTCTTCTGTTTCTTCAACAGGATTTGGTAAAGGAGATTCTTCTTCGATAATTTCAACAATAGGAGGGAAATTAGTACCATATAAGGTCACTGGCTGGCATCCCGGAGATGATACAGTCCTAACTGTGTAAGATGTAAAATTTGGATCTGGGTCGCAGGCATACAATGCAGAAGAAAAAGTTAATTGACTCGTATCTGGAGTAAGATCGACAATAGTCCAAGAAGATACAATTGATAAAAACAGGTTCTCAATGGTCAAATAACCAGTTACCAGATCACTGAGTCTAGCCAAGTGATTATACGAGAGGACTATACTCTGTTCTAGAATCAGATACATAGTCAAACCATTCTGGAATGCCAGTTCTAAGGTCATCAATAAAGCCATGTTGGAAGAAGCTGTTGCATCAACTAAAAGGTATGGAATACCTCCGACATTGGCTGTAATATAAAAAATACTGTTCAAAGCAGACACCAATCCTAAGCCAAGGGCCATGAGACCAGTCAACAAACTAATTCTCATGGCTTGTTTTGATAATTATGGTGATAAAATGGCCTCTATTGTATCAAAAAAAAGGTATTCAATTCCATTCAAAGTAGAAACCTGAACTAAAACCGGTAACACGTAACGCCAGGAAATCGTTGAAATCCTGGAATTTTTCTTCTTTTTATGTCAAGCAACCTCATCCCTCCTTCATTTGTTGTGATTTGTTGTGATNTACAAGCGCATCTGTCTTTATATGCATCTCTTTCTCTCTCTCTCTCTCTCTCTCTCCTCTCCCCACCTTCCTTCTCTCTACCTTCTTTCCCTCTACCTTCTTTCCCTCTACCTTCTTTCTTTCTCTCCTTCTTTCTTTTCCCCCTGTATGCCTGTTTTTTATGCTATCATCTATTGATTGATTATGGAAAAGAAAAGAAAATAACGAGATGTTTTCATAAAAATGATGAAAAATAATTAAAGAAAAAAAAATAATAATCAAATCGAAATCGAAAATCAACCACACAATTTCTTAATCCTAGGTAGTAATCTTTTATTTATTATTTATCGAAGCAATCATTTTGAAGATCAGTACTACACGGTTGTTATGAGTTTATTTATTTTATAGCACTCTTGTCAAAATGCTTCAAATTTTTGTAATTGTAGTGTTCCCCCAGTGGTTTGCTTCATTTGCTTCGTTTACTCGACACTATCACAGAGCGAGATAGTGGAGCATACTTGCTTCTTTTGCTTCTTTTACTCATTTGCTTCTACTCATTTGCTTCTACTCATTTGCTTCTTTTGTTTCTTATTTTTCGCCTAACTTTTGTTTAAAATTGTTAGACTCGATTTCAAGTGACAATGCTTGCCTCATCACTGTGTAATGACAAGACGCAATAGAGGAATAATGAACAGATAGTGTCGGTCAGTATGCTTTAGAGGTGGAGACATTTCAAAGCAACTGCTTACACGCGAGGTTGGTATTATTTGTAATAGCCTCGATGCTTAATCTGTCAGGTACATTGAAAAATTGTGTATTCAAAAATTTGCGCAATTTCATGGTATAGATAATATTCATTACTGCAAATACCACGATACTCTTAACTGCAGATATTTACAAAGATGCTCATAACCGCGAATGAATACTAACTTAACCATAACTGCAAATATTTACTACACTGAAGCGCAAACTCGCTCTGTATATTCGCAACTTAATTTGTTGCTAATCAATGTGCTCTACTATCGAGCTAATCAGTGTGCTCTAATGTCGCAATTCAATATTGTCAACCAAACAGTTGACAACAAATCGGCCTGATTAGCTTAGTCGGTAGAGCGTTAGACTCTTAAATTGCTACCTAACAGTAGCTAGAAAGTGTCATCTAAAGGTCGCGGGTTCGACCCCCGCATTGGGCTTAGTATTTATTTTTTCAGCCTGATTAGCTTAGTCGGTAGAGCGTTAGACTCTTACTGTTGTTTCAGCAACATAAAAAGTGTCATCTAAAGGTCGCGGGTTCGACCCCCGCATTGGGCTTAAATACTTACTTTTTTTTTTTTTTTTTTTTTTGCACCCAACTAGAAACTTTTCTTTTCTTTCCTATTGGGTAATTCTTTAATTAAAGTATGGTATGTATGTAAGAGGTCAGTGTCGATAGTGTCGATAGTGTCGCACTTTAGGTCAAATAAGGTTCAACTTGCTGCTCAAGCCAGTCCCAAACTTTTTCGTTAGAAACAACATCATTTAAATCGTTTCTTGCAATACCAGGGGTACCAAAGGAAACACTATGTTGGCCATCTTTGACATCTGGAGACAAAGCGGCATATAGCTCAGTATAAGCACCAAATCGAGCAGGAAAACACATGTATTTAAAAACAGCAACCTCCATGGGGCTTTGATATCTTTGCAAGTCAGTTAGCAAATAACCAGGACAGATTGAACTACTAATAACGTTTGGAGCAGTATGCTTTTTGGACCACATCTTTGCCTGAATGATATTTCCTGCTTTACTTTGACCATACGCATACATTTGAGTGCTTTTAGTAAATGGGATTTTCTCAAAATTGTAGTCTTGCCAATATAAGCCTCCTATAGGTGCAAAAAAATGAGCACTTGAACTAACCCAAACAATCCTCGATAACCCCGAAGGATTAAGCTCTGATGTTTTGATAAATATAGGGTCGAGCAATTTTTGTAATAAATGAGGACCAATCGTATTGGTGCCTAGTTGCAACTCATACCCTTGCGTGGTTTTTGACCCCTTTGGTGGCACCATAACGCCTGCATTGTGGATGATTATATCTAACCTATCCTCTTGTTTCAAAAATTGATCGACTGTCGACTTGATAGTAGTCAAATTGCCCAAATCAAGTGGGATGAAGTTTATCTCCCTATTGTCAACATTATATTCCTTGCTAATTTCTGATTGAATTTGTTCAATTGCTTTCAATGTTTTTTCTTTATTTCTAGAGAATATATAAAGCTTGGCTTTTGTAGTGCCAGCTAATGATTTAACGGTCTGATAGCCAACTCCCGTGTTACCGCCTGTAACAATCACAACCTTCCCTTCTAAGTCGGGGTAATCCTTTTCGGTAAATTGGGGGTTACCTGGCCAAAAGCCATGAACCATTTGCTTCCATTCTGCCCATGATTTTCTTGGAATTACAGGGTACAGCATTATTCAAGAGTGTTTATAGTAGGAGATGTAAATAGATATATAGTCAGTTTCAGTAGCAGAGATATTTGTTACAAAGGTTTTCACACTATTTGATAATAAGATGGGGAGATTTGATTAATCTAAATAATGATCGTACTATATTCATTTTTTTTTTTCATGCATGAGTTTAATTCCGACACTATCGAGCTATCGAGCGAAGCGAGATAGTGGAGCAACCATTTGTGTCTAAGGATGCAATCAAGACCGTGTGTTTTACAAGGGGGGAGGGGCGGATGATTAAGGCAAAGAATATGTTTATATAGGGGAGGAATATATTTATATAGGGGAGGAATATATTTATATAGGGGAGGAATATATTTATATAGGGGAGGAATATATTTATATAGGGGAGGAATATATTTATATAGGGGAGGAATATGTTTATATAGGAAAAGGAATAGAGTTGGATATAGTTGGGCAATATGGGAAAGGGAATAAAGTTAGATAGTTGGGCAAAAATGAGTTTATTGTTGTAGAGGATGAAATAGGGAATGTATATGCCATTTATAAGTTGATAGGTAAAGGATGATAAAGTATTGAGAAAGCAGATGAATAAACAGAGTAGATAGAACATAAAAAAGATAAAGTAGATAGTAGATAGTAGATAGAATATAGATTTTATTTTTCCCGCTAGTAAATCTTAATCTTTCGCAGCAATTCCATTGACAATAATCACGTGATCCAAAACAGCAATGTGCCCACTGTTGAATGGTGCATGTATCTCTTCTCTACTCTTTCTCTCGACTAGTCTCTCAATAGAGTGTCCGTTCTATATCTCGGGCTTTACTATGTTTAATGCTTTTCATGGAAGTTGGTCAATTTGCTCCACTATCGAGCAGAGCGAGATAGTGTCTATATACTGCTCGGTAGTACATACTGCTCGGTAGTACATACTGCTCGGTAGTACATACTGCTCGGTAGTACATACTGCTCGGTAGTACATACTGCTCGGTAGTACATACTGCTCGGTAGTACATACTGCTCGATAGTACATACTGCTAGATAGTACATACTGCTCAATAGTACATACTGCTCGATAGTATATACTGCTCCACTAGTTCGCTTCGCTCCCTAGTATCTATAGTGTCCTAACACGCGTCCTTTTTTTTTGTCTTTTCAAAATATTTTTTCCATTGAGCGTTTCTACACGACCTGAAAAATACCAAACGCGTCTTCAAAAATCATACCGAGATTCCACCTTGCAATGATGATTCCACTTGCAATGAATGGTATTTCCCCACTAAAAGAGTAGTAGTACTGGCACTGGCATGATGATTCATAAGGCTAAAGAGGACCTGCTAATAGATTTTGCTAATACTGTTTCCCACAAGGTTGGTTTTTCCTTCAATAAACCTATTTTGAGCACTATCAAACGCTCTATAAGCAATAAAGAGCTTTTATTGCGTCTTACAGAACTTCATGAAAAGTTGTCGGTTTTGGAAGATGAGGAGATAGAGGTTGAGTCTCTTAGATCTATAGCGAATGATCTTGCCGACAAGAAACTACTCAATCACTCAAGTATAGGAGTTCAAGCTTTTGTTTGCTGCTGCATATCTGATATCCTCAGACTCTTTGCACCAAATGCTCCATATTCAGACGACCAGCTTTCCAGCATATTCAAAGCATTCTTTAAGCAATTTTCAAGAATCGCAGCTACCCAATCGTCAAGATCCGAAAAACCACAGTTTTACTTGCAATATGTCTACTTGTTGAAACGAATAGCTGAGACTAAAACAACTATTTTAATCATTGATCTTCCAGATTCACTGAAATTGATCCAACTATTTTTTGAAACTTTTTACACAGTTGCAACTAAGGATTCTTTCCCGCAAGAACTAGAAACAATTGTTGCAGATATCTTGGCTGAAATGATCTCAGAAGCTGAAGTCATCCCCCACGATATTATTAAACTTATTCTTGGTAGATTTTCAGCACACGAGTCACAAACAAACCTACTCTTGAGCAAAATCACAACACCAGAATTCAACTTTTCATTATCGATTTGTGAAAATAATGTTGATAGAATGTCGCGTTCTGTTGCTCAGTATTTTTCGGAAATCTTGTATAGAAATTCAAATATCTTGGAACAGGCAGATGCAGAAGAAGAAGAGGAGGAGGAGGAGGAGGATGAGAAAAAGGCGGTGGTGAGTGAGGAATCAAAAAGGCAAAAAAAGAGGACTTTGCTAGATGCCATGGATGTATTGGAAAGAATCCACCATTTGTCTGTACAAATATGGAGGTTTGTTCCCTCCATAATGTCTTCAGTAATGGCTCTAGTGGAAGATGAATTGAACGCCAGCGAGGAAAAAGTAAGGGCATTAGCTACCAGAACAATTGGGGAAATGTTGGGCTCCTCAACCTTAAGCTCGACTGTGCCTTTGCTCAAGGTGAATTTTTTTATTGTACACCAGTCAACCTGGACAACTTGGTTAAAGAAGCCACTGGATATTTCCAGTATAGTACGAAGTCTGTGGGTGGCCCAATTACCGGAAATTTTCATGCACAACCAATTTCTTACATCTGAAATCGACCAGCAACTTGTAACAGAGTTGAAAAAGTGTCTTGTTGATACTGACTATAAAGTAAGGGAGATGGCATGCTCTTCATTAGCAAGAATCACTTTCAAAGTATTTGCGTCAAAGGTGTTGAACAAGGATATAATGACCACACTTTACCAACTAATGCGAGAAAAACACAAAACAATTAGATCAATTGCTATTAATGCATTGGGATCCATTTACCAAAGCTACGTGGATGCTCAAATTGCCTCGAATTTCCAATTAGATTCTGAACAAGAGCAATTGATTTTTGTTATTCCCAAACAAATTCTATCACTCGTTTATATCAATGATAAGAACATAAATGCAATGGTTGATTTGTCGTTGTTTGAGAAGTTGGCTCCTATAACTGAGTCAAATGCGGTTAAAAGGGTTCAAAAATTAGTCCGCTTATATTCTGTACTCGATAAGAAAGGAAAAGATGCATTTGCTGCTATCAATACCAGACAACGCAAGGTGGGACCTATCATCAGTAATTTGATGGAAATCTCTGACGAGTGCGCAAAGGGCAATTCCATTCAAGATAAGGAAAACAAACCATCCGGTGAAGATGTAAAAGCGAACTTGTTGAAAATAGACAAAATATTGAACTGGATCTGTGTTTCATTCCCAGATGACCACAATGCCTACGCATGCTTGGAACGTTTAATCAAATTAAATAGAGCGAGGTTCTATTATCTTATCAAAACCTGTGTCACTTCTGAGTCTGATATCAAAACAATCAACAGTGCCCTTACAGAGCTTTTAACAAAGTTATCAGAAACAAAAAATATCAAATTAGACGACGGGTTTGGAACAAGACTGAGTGTGACTACAGCAGATATGGTTTACAATGTGAAGTTACTATTATTGAGAGGATCACCCTTGCTTTACAACAGATCCAATGTTGAACAACTTATAGAGGTTTCCAAGTCAACGGAACAACAACAACAACAACAACAACAACAACAACAACAACAACAACATCTCAACACTACAGCAAAGGAGATTCTTGAACAAATTTCTAATATTAATCCAAATGTGTTTCAGTCCCATGTGCGTACGCTCACTGAATTATGTAACGAGAAAACCGAGACAGACAAGACTGGTCCTCTAAAAACAATTTATCACTTTGTTAAGAAATTCCCTGATGCTTTCCCATCTGACATTTCATTTACTGAAACATTGAAAAAATTGGCAGTAAATGGCACGCCTGAAGAAGCCAAGTATTCAATGAAGTTGATTGGTAAAAGTGAAAGAAAAGAGCTTTGTTGCGCTGCAGTTGTAGAGAAAATTTATCCATTGGATATTAGCAATGACAAATTTGCAACCCATTTGAGTTCCATTGTTGAATTGTTTGTGGTTGATAAATTTTCAGTAATGGATAAAGAAGCCGAAATTACTCCGTATATTATCAAAAACGTTTTGCTTGAGAACTCCAAGTATGACAATGCCTCCAATTTCAAAGTTTTGGCAGTAAGGATGTTTACCAATATTCTCAAGTCTACCGCTGCTGCCAATGATGTAGAGGCTGCCAAGGAAAAGGCGGGTCCTGTTTTAAAGTTGCTAATCTCCATTATTGGTAATAAAGGTGAAATTGTAAATAAAACGAATCCAACATGGCCAACACCAGAGGAATATAAGCAAAAACTTCGTTTAACTGCTGGAGAGTATCTATTGAAATTGGCAAAGATTCCAGTGTACAATGAAATAATCTTATCGCCAACTATGCGAAAACTATGCTTTCTTGTGAATGACGAAGAATTGAGTATTAGAAGAACTTTCTCTGTAAAATTGAGGGAGAACTTAGCTAATGAAGCTATTAGTGAGAAGTACCTTTCTCTAGTCTTTTTCAGTGCTGCTGAAACAGATTTAGAATTAAAGAGTGACACGACAATGTGGATTAATTCAATGTTCCGACGTTGTGAATTGAAAAAGAGTTTGAAGTTTGAGAAATCACTTGTTCGATTGATACACAATTTGGCGCATCATGAGGTGTTTGAGCTAATCATACGTGGGAATCAAAAAGAAAAAGAAGAAGAAAAAGAAGAAGAAGAAAAGATAGAGGAAACTGAAACTACTAGACTTCTAAATGCTTATATTTTTGCTTCCTCCTTTCTTATCTACTTTGTTAAACTAATTGCGAAAGCGGAAAACATTTCATTACTTTATTATTTGGCAAGCCGAGTGAAACAGCATAGGGATGCTGCAATAGCTTCTTCCCAATACGAGAAGGAAACATTATCTGAAGAAACTTTGCAAATTTATAGAATTGCTGAGTTGGCGCAGTTGATCTTAAAGACATACAGCGACTACAAAAACTGGTCAATCCAAACTTGGTCAGAAAAGATTAAGTTACCACACGAGCTATATGTTCCAGTAGCAACTTCTCATGAAGCACAAAATATTGTGTCACATATATTTATTGCAGAGAATATTCAAGTACCTTTGGTTGCCCATACAAAGAAATTGATTACTGATCACAAGAGAAAACGTGATGATACTGTAGTGCTGAAACGGCTGAAGGAGAATGGCGCCGATAGTACCAAAAGGTCAAAGTCAAGGCGCCCTAGACATAAGAAGAGAAAAATACATCTGGATGTAATCGAGTCAACGATTGAACGGAGAAGAAGCAGTAGAGTGGTCACAAAAGTTGACTACAAAGATCAACTTTCATCATCTGCGGACGAGGAGGAGTCATCGGAGGAAGAGAGCGATTTTTAGTAATGAAATCTATGATCAACTGTTTTATTTCATTTTTTTTATTTTTATTTTTATTTTTATTTTTATTTTTATTTCTTATTTTCACTTTCTACTCACGGCTCCATCTCTTTCATAGGCTCTATCCTATTCATTTTTATCCAATCTTCGCCCAATATTCTCAATCTTGCAGCAGAGGGATACTTTCTGTCCGCAACAGCATCAACAAATTGAGAAACCATCAATTGTAGAACCTTGACAGCCTGTCTTTTATACACTTGCAAAAAATGCGCAGCAGTTGCTTCCCACCAATTAGCCAAGACCTCAAAGTGAGTATTTCTAATCAACAGTAAATCTGTATTTAATATCCTTGCTACAAATTGCCAACTCGATTTTTCTGAAAAGAGTCCTTCTTTTCCAGCGCCGGATAGAAACTGTGTCATTACTGCCCATACTGTACATATACCTGCAACTCTTTCATCATATTTCACGTCGCTCTCCCATTGGTCGTCTTCGTATTGTTTCCAGTTCATTCGTAATCTACCTTCTACTGTGGTCATTGGGTCAGTGAATCCGATTATGTATGGGCATTTCTTGACAAACCTTGCAGCTAAAAAATACTCAAACTCGGGAAATGTCACTAATAGGCTATATGCCAAGTGGGCTAGTGGAGTTGCTGCAAAGGGTCTGACGATAACTTCCGTTTCTGCTTGATGGACAATTGCTTTTGCCATGAAATTGAGTATCCATTTGTAAGCTAGTTCATCAGCTTTTACTGGCTCAACCAAGGTGATTACCTCTCTAATAAGTGTATCTGTGTGATGTTTGGAGTTGGAAAGTTGTCCAAATTTTGGATTGATTTTACGTTTATACCGATTAACAGCTCTTTTCAAATCGGTATTCTGGTCTATTTTGAGTTTTACATTTTGTTTAATATCCTCGATATCATTTTTGTACTTGTAAAATTCCTTCTCAACATTGTTGAAATTTGTGAAACGTGTCTCCTTTAGTCGCTTAATTTCCTCTAGTCGATCCTGTTCCTGTTTCTTTTTCAATTCAGCTGCTTGAGCAGCCTTTTGCTCCTGTTCTAGTTTCAACCGCTCAGCTTCTTTTTGTCTTTTTTCAGCTTCTAGCCGCTCACGCTCCTTCTCTTTGCGTGCTTCTTCTTCCCTTTCAAGTCTTTCTTCTTCTAGTCTCTTCAACCTTGCTTCTTCCTCCAACTTCCTCTGCCTCGCCTCCTCTATTAGTCGCACTCTTTTCCTTTCATTGTTTATAACATCCTGAACTTGCAAATCTTGCAAACGCAACCGTGCTTCAATCTCTTGACCAAGTTTGAGGATATTGATCTTGGACAACTCTTGTGCCGATTGGATAAACTGCTGGCTTTGCGACTTTTGCCTTGTCGATTCAGCTATTTTTTGCTCTTTCAAGCTATGTGTATACTCATTTATAGCATCATATATCAAATCAGCCTCAACATGACCTGGATAATCAATTGTACGAGGTTTTAGCGGGTCCAACGAGACGCTTCGTAATGGATAATGCCCATAATTGTGCACCGACTGGTCCTGAGAAGCAGTCTCAACAACTACTTCAAATTTCTCAGGCAATGAAAACTTCATTTCACAATACCATTAATCAGCAGAAAGAAGGCAACAAGGTCCACTCATTAACCTTTCTCTTATCAATTGTTTTCGTTAAAACAAACTGGTGTTTCTTTATGAAAAAAAAAAATATATATATCCCCCATTGATAATTCGCACAAGGTGAAACAAAAGTTGATGGTGAAAAATTTTCCAGATTCCATTACTTTGGTTATTCTGGGGTCCCTTCTTTGGTTATGAATAGGGCATTTACTCGTCAGCTTTCCCATTCGAGGGTGTGTTTGAGGCCCGGGTATTCAACGGTGCAACCGGTGCATCATTTAGTGCCCGTTGAAAAGGCACGCTTGAAGCCTGGATTACAGCAATTACTTTTACCAGCCGATGATATACGATCGAATAAATTCAAACCAACTGAGATATGTCATGATCGTGTAGCTGAGTATTATAGAAACACGTTGGAATCTGATTTACTTTTGCACTTTTACCAACATGGAGCTACTAAAATCGAGGGTAATAAGAGAAGAGAATGGGCAAAAGACTCACCATATAAGTTATATCGAGGCAAAAGAAAACCCAAGGGCGGCACTAGAGCTACCAAGGATATATATCCGATTACCAGTACCAATGTTCCCAAACTTACCAGTATTGTGGTGCACGCGTATAATAAGAAAGCATTGGAGTATCCGTGGTTGAATATCTCAACCAGACTACAACTATCAGTCATCACCAATGTCAAAGCGAAACAAATCTATAACAAGATGAACATTTTACCCTGGAAAGCAAGAGTCGGAAGACCATGTGGCGGTAAAGTTGAACTTTTTGATAGGGATATGAGCCAATTTATTAGCACATTGACAGAGTTGGTGCTACCAAGAATCAGAGCTTTCAAGGGGATTAGTGTTACCTCTGGTGATAGGAACGGTAACATAAGTTTCGGAATGACTGCTGAAGATGTGCAATTATTCCCAGAATTGGAAAATTATCAGGAATTGTTTCCCAATCTATGTGGTATAGATATTACTTTCAAGACAACTGCTCAAACAGATGCTCAGGCAAAGACTTTATTAAGTGCTTATGGATTCCCTTTTGCAAAGCCTGAGAATTGAAACTTTGTAAATAGACACTATCGAGCGACACTATCGAGCGAAGCGAGATAGTGGAGCATACTAGCTGTCACCGACACTAGCGACACTAGCTGCCACCAACAACACTTAGTAGCTTGTTATAAGATGTAGTTATTTCTAGCCATCCTCTCTTCCCTCATACTATATAGTATCTACAAGGTGAATCTCGTTCTGCTCAATAGTAATATCGCTCTGCTCAATAGTAATATCGCTCTGCTCAATAGTAATATCGCTCTGCTCAATAGTAATATCGCTCTGCTCAATAGTAATATCGCTCTGCTCAATAGTAATATCGCTCTGCTCAATGGTAATACACTATCTCGCTCTGCTCAATGGTAATACACTATCTCGCTCTGCTCAATAGTAATACACTATCTCGCTCTGCTCAATGGTAATACACTATCTCGCTCTGCTCAATGGTAATACACTATCTCGCTCTGCTCAATGGTAATACACTATCTCGCTCTGCTCGATAGTGTATTTCTTATCTCTTCCATCTCTTTCCTTTTAATTTTTCCGGTGCGCGCGCTAAATGATTTCAATTTTAGCGAGCTTCTTTATTATTATTCCGCTATTGGTGGTATTCAACAATATTCGTCTTCAACGAATATGGATCGGAATGGGGGTTCTAGTAAAGGAATGAGCAAGAATAAGGCTAGTAGAACGAATAATAATAATGGGCACTACCATCACCATCAATGGGTTCAACAGTTACGAGCTTTACCTTCGGATCCAAATTCAAAAGACTTGCTCAAGCTTGAATATATTGATGTGAATTTGAACAATTCACGCAAGTTGATAAATAACGTATATTCTTTGAATAGTGAGAGTGCCGAGTATGCGAAACAATTGGATAAGCATCTTGGAAGTTTACCACAGTTGGACTATCTTGTTAAAGAGTTGGATTGGTTGAACAATATTTGATATCATTTAAAATCGTCTCTAAATATATACATATATATATGTATACATATAAATCTAAAAATCCCAGTCTTAATCAAGTTGGTCTCTGTTTTTTCCCATCAGCTTCTAAATCCTCTTCTTCGGTATCAGCTATAATAAAATCTTGCATTGCTATAGGGTTTTCCTCCACCACAGAGTCTTTACCATTACTTTCAATATCTGCACCATTTGTCCTTGGTGAATTCTCTTTTTGCTCTGGTTTAAACTTTAAAATGATTACTGCATTGCCTACTATCAATATTATGCCCAAAAAAGATAAAAAACCAGGCAAATGGTTCCAGATTGTTAAATCCCAAATAATTGCAAACACCATCCCCGAATACGCCATCAAAGAAGCTCTAGATGCCTTTACTCTTTGCACACCAGCCGTTAAGCAAAACTGCATAAAAAAACCCGAAAACCCAATTACCAAAAATAGAAACCATTGATAACCGTTTGAAGGTAGCACAAACGATAATGAAGGTAAGACCAATATACAAGTGAATGTCACAATACAGCAAGTTAACGCAAAATAACTCACCGAAAGCAATGGGTGAGCATGCATTCCAATTTTTCTCAAAACAATGTAGACACATGATGCTCCACATACACCAATTAACCCAACGATTGTCGCCAAGATCCTTTTTTCGGAAGAGCTACTTTCAATCTCCTCGTTACCATTGGTCTCTTTGCTAGTTTCCTCTCCAAATAAGAATGAGGGCTTCGCAATGAGTAATACTCCTCCTAGTGAAAATAGGGAGCACACGCCTTCTAAAATTGAATACTTTTCTTTCAACAAGATAAACGCCAAAAACGCAGTAAACATCGGCACAAGGAAAGTGATTGCAACTGCATCAGATAAGCTCAAGTACTGTAGGGAAAAGTACATTCCAAATACTCCAAAAAACCCCACAAAACCTCTCATGATTAGCAATTTGCGCAATTTTGGTGGTCCAAAAGGCGCTTGTTCAATAGCCCTTGTGACAAACATATATATCAAACAACACAAATATGTAATAAACATTCGAACAAACAATATCTGCAACGGATGTATAGGCTCATTGAAATTTTTATCTGTTACCAATAATTTACATGTTGTAACCATTATGCTGTTTAGAAACTGCGAAAATAGTAGTAGCGAAATTCCTATATTGGGCAAAATGATGCGATTGTAAAAAGATACTAGTTTGTGTCTAAGAGCTTGCAACTTTGTATCTTGGCCCTGTTGCCAGTCTTGATCATCGATTCGAAACGAGTCTATTGAATTGGTCATTGTCCGACTGATAAAGTCCCCAGTTATGGGCACAGCCAAAGGTGTGGCTACTTCGGTGGCATCGTCTATCGTTTGAATAACAAACGGATCCTGCACCAACGGCTGGTTATTTAGTATCGTATTACTATCATTATGTGTATTCTCAAACATCTAGCTATTCTATCTTTGCCTTCTTCCTAAGCAATCAAAATTTTGTTCATATTTGCATCTTCTGATCAAAAAATGATGTACCGGTTACTAAAGTTTTTCCGCTCCATTTAATGTACAGAATTTGTCATCAATTATCCGAACAAATATTACGTGCCGATACTGCCTGACGATAAGGATAAGGAATAGGAAGGCATCGGCGGCGGCGGCGGCGGCGGCGGCGGCAGGGGGGGAGGGGAAGAGATGCTGGGTTCAGCAAGAGGGTAATACACATGAGCTTGGCTTTATAGATACATCTTTAATGGGCAAAGAAGCTTATTCCGCTTTCCAAAATGTCTAACCATTAAAAGATTTTTTGCAATTCCGCAATCGTTTTCTTTGTGAGCGATGAGGTATTTTAGCGCTACCATAAGCAATAAGAAAATGGGGTATAACTCTAATCACTACCAAGTGTATTCTTCAGAGTAGCAAGAAAGAGTCATGGTGAAAATGAGAATAAGGTGAAGATGAGAATAAGGTGAAGATGGGGGCGAGGGTGAGGATAATGATAAAAGATATGTGCGTTCTCAGATAAGTTGTACTATAAAGTAATACTGTCCAGGTTGTAAAAAAAGAAATGTTGTATCAAAAAAAAAAAGAAAACCCGTTTTGTTTCAACCGTTGCCACGTCAATTTTGCAAAACAAAAAAAACGCCGCCTAAGAATAAAAACCGCCTAAGAAAAGCCTCCTAAGTTGAAAATGACTCTTTATCAGTTTAAGCAATATGATCTGCGCAATTCAATCAATAGCAATCTACAAAAATCCTTTTTCATGCCTTATGGTCTCTAGGAAGAATACTAATACCGTTTACCCTACTACAAGAGAATAACCAAAACCTCTTTGTTTCTTTCTTTCTTTCTTTCTTTCTTTTTTTTTTTTTTTCTTCTTGATGAAAATTTAACAAAAAAAGTTTAAATATGGTCTATTATTATTAATATGGGAGTTTGGTAAGCTTGACAGTTTGATAATTTTTATTTGCTATTATTATGGAAAGTGTTTACCACGAGTCAACTAAGGGAAATGTAGGCCAATCGTGCAATGACATAAACCAAGATGAAAATAGAGTCTTGGAAATTGCATTTAACAAATCAGGTAATCCATTTCAAGAGGAATTGAAGAAAAGCTCAAATACAAATATTAATTTCCCATATGACAAGCATCGTTCCAAGTCTACTCCTAGCACGCCAACTTTACAAATAGGTCCAGATTTAAATGCAAGTCTACCCAAATTGACACGAGGAAACAGCTTGAACGAGAACTTGCTCCGAGAGAACGATCTAGACAATAATCTCAACAATGATAACAAGTTAACCAGATTCAAAAAATCTGTGTTGATACCAGCAGCAAAATGGGCATATTCACCAGTAACGAAATTTCAAAACCAACGGAAAAGCTATACTAGCAGCAGACCAGTTGATGAGTACAAAATCGAGTATTCTGTTTTCAAACCTTTACCTGGTTTAAAGCGGATCCAGCTTCCTAGTGACATTTCAGCACACTTGCACGATTTCATCGAGTTTCAAACCAATAAACCATTTGAGTTCCCTGAAGGATACCGAAGCGAAAATCAATTTCAAGTTTTAATCGAACAAGTTAGACATGTGATCGAAGTGGATCGTATTTATCCTGAAAGAATTGCGCTGGGATCTTCGGGAAGCTACTTTGTATTCAACAAAATAGAACCAAACACTAGTTTATATGCAAAAGTGGGCATTTTCAAACCTAAAAGTGAAGAGCCGTATGGACCACTTCTGCCGAAATGGAGCAAATGGCTTCATCGCACTTTCTTTCCATGCTTTTTCGGACGAAGTTGTTTAATACCAAACTTGGGCTATATAAGTGAAGTAGCCGCTTGTGTTTTAGATCAACAGTTGCAATCCTACATTGTGCCATATACAAGTTTAGCAGAGTTGCGATCGCCAACTTTTTACTATCCCCTTTGGGACAGGTTTAAACACGTTGAAAAGTTACCTTATAAAATTGGATCTTTCCAGGTGTTTTTAAATGGTTATATAAATGCCAATACTTGGTTCAAGGTCCATCCCTTGCCAACTCACATTCACCTTCTTCCAAACTCACTGGATGTTGAAGTAGAGATCACTGAAGCAGATTTCAAATTTCAATGGAGTAAAGACGCAATGTTGCAATTTCAACAAGAAATTGAGAAAATGGTCATTCTAGATTATATAATGAGAAACACTGATCGTGGTAATGATAACTGGATGATAAAGGTTGAATGGGTAGAAATCACTCGCGATGAGACAAAACAGATAAAAACCATGCGCCCATATTTGAAGATAGGTGCAATTGATAATGGGTTGGCTTTCCCTTGGAAGCATCCTAACGAATGGAGGTCATTTCCCTTTGGGTGGTTGTTCTTGCCTCTTAGTCTCATTGGTCGACCATTTTCAAAAGGCACACGAGAACATTACTTGCTACTACTCACTTCGAAACTATGGTGGGAAACAACAGTTGTTAAATTGCACAGGACGTTCATGAAGGATAAAGACTTTAAAGAGCGCATGTGGTTAAAACAATTGGCGGTTTTGAAAGGTCAGGCTTTCAATGTGGTTGAAGTTTTGAAAATGGGATTTGCTGGACCATTAGAGTTGACACGTCGGGAAAACTTGGTGGTTTATGATGATTTGATGTTTATGCCATGCAATGGTGATGGTGATGGTGATGGTGATGGTGGTGGTGATGATAATGATAATGATGGTGGTAACGACCTTGCAGAAACGAGGCAACTGTTGCTGGTGTCCACTGAAAATGCAGATCAATATACGCCACTTCTTATCAAGCCCAGTCGGATTGATAACCTACAATGCATTAGTGACCCCGGAGACAATTATCCTAATAGAAACGAATCAGGCTATGAAAGAATTAATAGGGAAACAGAGCCGCTCCCAAAACAAGGCTCTAGAGTGGTTATAGAGAGAATAGTTCGAGAAACTTCAAAACCCCCCGTTTTTACATGGTGCTGAGTTAGATTGTATTATGGATTGTAAGTATGATCTAAATTGCAAAAAGTACGCTCATTATTTTATGTTCTTATACTTGTTTTCAAAAATATATGGATAGTGATCTGAGTTTCCCCTAAAATCATCTTGATTAATAGTAAACATTTTCCTATCCTGTTTCAATCTGAACTGCACCATTTTCAACAATGAATAAACAACACTGAGTATTGGGGTATAGACATTCTGTTCCTTAGCAATTCGTATTGGGTTCCCCAAAATGACCTCAACTTCCATCAACTGTTTCTTTCTCATATCGACACACATCAGTGGACTGTAGAAAAGGCCATCTCCGATATGAATGAATTTCTCCACAAATGTAGGATCGCACTCAACACCGACTGATCTTGCTATATTCATGATCTCTTGCATTGCTGGCCTTATAAGCTCGTCATTAGCATTATTTATTTGTATGCTATTGACATCTAGATCCACCAATGCTGAAATTGTATTAAATACCGAATTGTACATTAATTTCTCCCATCTTGTTTTCTGTACATCTTCGTCGACTTGTACTTTGTTGAAGCCGGGATTATGATATATGGAGATGAATTCCTCAATCTTGAGACGGGACTCAGGATTCGAGCTTGGTTTCTGGAAATCACCAAGAAAGACAATTTCCATACCTTTATTTTCAACGTGTCCATGGTAATATGTACTACCAATATGCGAAACTCCACTTAGAATCAAATGACCAGGAAACTTTTCGAGCATTGGTTTTTCAATATCAATTCCGTTTTGCAAGAGTATGATAACTTCCTTCCCTGTACTTATGGCAGGTGCAATAATCTCTTCGCATGTAACTGGACCATCTGGTACATTTTTTGTAGTAACCAAAATATAGTCGAAAGGTCCAAATTTCTCCATCGCATCATTAACCGATGGAGCTAAATGGGATGGCTTCCAGCCAATGAGCTCGCCATATGTGCACGACACAATAGAGTACCCTTTTTCCATTATCAAGTCATAATCACTTCGAACAACTAATGTAACTTCAGATTTGAAGTTGTGTGATAATGAAAGGGCACTGATGGTGCCGACACCACCAGAGCCAATTACCAACACTTTAGGCCTATACATTTTTGCTCAAACGCGCAACAACAACAAAAAAGAAGAAGAAGCTAATGTACAATTCTACTAGAAAAGAAGATTGAAATTGCAAGTGATTTTATCAACTCATCGGATTAATCAATTAATGAAAAGTTATTTCGCGGAGTAAATAAAAATGTTTTAAACGCTAAGCGCTTTTATTTCCAAAGCGGAAAAAAGCAAAAGCGGAAAAAAAGCAAAAGCCGCCAACAATTGAAAAGGCAAGCTCGCGACACTATCGAGCGAAGCGAGATAGTGGAGCACTGACTGCTATTGACACTTTCGACCGACATCAGAATAGAGTAGAGGATAGTGTAGATAAGAATAGAGTAGCGGATAGTGTAGATAAGAGTAGAGTAGCGGATAGTGTAGACAAGAGTAGATAAGAGTAGAATAGAGTGGAAAACACTATCTCGCTCTACTAGATAGTGTCGCAGAGGATTAAAGAGAAGACAACGATCAACAACAAAAGAGCGTATATCTGTCCAAAACACAACTATTGTTTGATAGCACCATAGGTTTCTCAACAAAAGAGCGCATATCTGTCCAAAACACAACTATTGTTGAATAGCGCCATAGGTTCCTCAACAATAGAGCGTATATCCAAAACACAACTATTGTTTAATAGCACCAATAGGCTCTTCAACAATTTCCATTTCCATTTTCATTTTTTTTTTTTTCCTTCACTTTTGTTGCCTTCTGAATTCTCTATAAGCCTCCAAATGATCTGTTTCCAACTCTTCCTCCTTAGCCAATCTAGTATTCTTATCTTCTCTTGCTACTAGTATTGGTAATGCATTTGAAGTAAAGATCTTAAAGAGTGGAAATGATGAAACCATGCCATTGACAGCAGCTAATGCAGGACGATTGGAAATTCTAGCCATATAAGCTTGAGCAGGTAGCTCGGTATAAGCAAGTGTATCTTGCGAGTTCATTTTAAGTGAAGTTAGAACTTTGGTACCGAGTGTGAAAGCAAAGCAGGGTGAGGAGGATAGCAGTCAGTATTGCTCAAACCTGTCTAATGGTGCAAATACTTTTTTTATGTAATACTTTTGGCTGCGAAAAAACAAAAAACAAAAAATTACTTTTATTTCATTTTTTATTATGGCAATGGAACTTTTAACAAAGACGGGCAATTTTCTTATGATTTAAAAAAAGCAAGAGGTTTCATAAGTCAATACCGCAAGATTCTATCCATTTTGATAATCAAAGTAGCAAACAAGTCATTATTGACAAGTTTTGAGAGGGTAATTACTTTCCACCAAAGTTTTACTGTATCCAGACCATCTATTCTTTGTTTGAGTTTCTTTGTTAAATTTAAATGTCCATCAAAAACATTCTGAATGTAGTTTAATACACTATCGAAATCTCTTCTCACTCGCATTCTAGAGTCAGACAGAAAGTTATACCCTTCCAGCATTGATATATACTTATTCCAGTCATTGTTTCCTCGACTAAAGAAGCCAAAATTGTATCGCTTGGAATCTATTCCCGGTGTAGTAAGAATTGGTATGTGATAAATCATTTGAAGTCTGTAGTTGACTTCAAGCCAATTACGTAGAATATTTGCAGCTATTAAGGGCATTGACTTGAATTCGTCATAGCTTGAGGATGCATTATTATTTGTTCTGAATGCATCACCAAGATATAATGAGCCTACAAGTGTGTTTGGAAGAAATATTGGGATACTTCGTAACGCAAATGTCTTTCTTCTTGCAAGAATTAAGCTTTTTTGAGACGTCTCCGTTTGATGAAAAGTCACTGGTTTCGTCCAGGGAATGGTTTTGTTCAAATTTATATCATTGATGAGTTTATTATCGTTACAGTATAGAAGATGATAGTCGCCGCTAAACGATTGTATGTTTAGTTGATACTCTACTTTGTATCCTGTAAAAGGAATTTGCAAGTTCGTAATACAGGACTGCGATTGATCAGGCAAAGCAAGTACTGAGCAAGCAAACACTACGAGTAGCAAGTACATAGCGTAACTCGAGTCTTGAAACAAAATCGTTGTAAAAAGAAAAATGTACTGAGCTAAAGGATGCTGCAGATAAATTTATATTTAACTTTCTCTGATTTTGCACCCAAAAAATAAAAAAAAAAAATAAAAAAAAATAAAAAAATAAAAAAAAAAGTCTCTTGAGTTTATATCCTTCAGTGACATGATAACTATCACAAATAAAACATTTGGATACAGTAAATGGCTTTATCCTAATGATTTGGTTACTTTAGATTATGTCTACTTTTGCTCACCAAGAATTGCGTTACTTTGAAAATGGTCCAACTTTCTACAAAAGCCACAAGACCCTTTACTCTTTTGGTGAAAAATAAAATACATGGTAGCGATACTAATACTAATACGGATCACGCCCATGATCAAACCCCCAAAAGACATTTCAACATCCATGTTTTATTGAGACTCAAACATAATACAAGTATAACAAGAAAGTACCAAGCTTCTAGTTTTATACTGAGTGCGTAACAACTGCAGTTTACAACAAGCAAAGCTCATCTGAAACGTACGTTTCTTTTCATTTTTTCTTTTTAAAAAAAAAAGGGAAAAGAAAAAAAAACCAACGACCCCAGATTGAAAAATTGCTATAGTTTATTACCACTGCGGAGTGAATGATTTCTTAGCTGCACTTTTACTCAATGGTAGACTTGGAAGAGAGTAATTTATTTTTGCCTCCGTCGCAAGTGGATACAGATAATGAAGGATCCATCTATGGCAACGAGCAGCACTGTCCCAATTCAAGGCAAGTGTTTAGAATATGCACAAATCTTAAATTGCTAATCGATAAAGTGATACCAGTGCAATTTGACGAAAAAGAGATCACAAGACAGGACTCCTCGATTTTGAACGAGCAATTGATTGAATTAGTATACAAAGCTGCAGGGGGGAAAGGTTCGGGCGAGAAAGGGTCGTCATCTCACAGATATCGTGCATGTTTAGTTTTTTGCTTGCTAAAATGCTGCGATTGGTATTGGCAGCTTAGTGAATACGAATTGAGCGATAATGAGCTATATTCATTACGTGCATTGAGTACTCAGATCCTCGCTGTAAAATTGATTGAAAGAGAAACAGCAAATGACGAGTATTTATTCTTGAGCATGCTATGCCATAGATATACCATTTGCGTTAATGGCAAAGATGCCGTGCCTGTTAGTGCCTTAGAAATGGCAGTGGACATGCACTCAACTATTGTTATTGGATCAAGCGGGTACCAGAGGTGTATCAAATGGTTATGGCGTGGTTGGATCGTTCAATCGTCAAAAAATCCTCATTCCTACGTGATGTATAAGGGCGTTGCCTCTCATTCTATAAGAACTCACTTTGACCCAGCAAGAATCAAAACTCCGCTATATCAGAACATTTTGGAGATTTTTTTCAGCTTTGTGTACCTTGCCTTGTTCACCATTGTGCTTAATACTCACTCTACTAATTTTGCCGATTTGGATATTTTTGAAATACTATTTTATATGTTCACCTTGGGATTGATATGGGATGAAGCGGTCAAATTTTATCATGTTGGTTGGAACTACTTGGGATTCTGGAATGTTTTTAATGATTCTATGTACAGTATTATTTCTGTTGCCGTGATTTTCCGCTTTGCAAGCATCAACAGCCACGGGCATATCAGAGACCGATATGACGAAATATCATATAGAATCATGAGTTGCGCAGCACCATTAATGTGGACAAGATTATTATTATTTTTGGATGCGCAAAAGTTTGTTGGCGCCATGATTGTTGTTTTGAAAGTGATGATGAAGGAGTCTGTTTTGTTTTTTGTTTTGTTGGTTGTAGTTGTTGTTGGGTTCCTGCAAGGTTTTATTGGACTCGATGCTTCAGATGGTAAGAATGAGGCAACAAAGAAGATTTTGGTTTCATTAATGAAGGTGGTTATTGGAACTTCTTCGTTTGATGAAATGGGCAAATTAGTGCCACCATATGCATCGATATTGTACTATTGCTATTCATTTTTGATAATGGTTATTTTGATGAACATATTGATTGCATTATACTCAACGTCATACGCCGCAGTAGTTGAAAATGCCACAAATGAATATTTTGCCTTGGTTTCACAAAAGACCTTGAGGTATATTAGAGCGCCCGATGAGAACATTTACGTACCGCCTTTCAACTTGCTTGAGATATTAATGACTCCATTTAGTTGGGTAATGTCGTCAGAGATTTACAAGGACATGAATTACTATGTGATGTTGATCATATATTCACCATTGTTGCTTTATATCACGACAGAGGAGTTATCAACAGCAAGAAGAATATCGTATAACCGATACAAGGGGTACCCCGATGATGCAAACGAGAATGACACAGAATGGGATTTAACGGACGGATTTGGTGATAGTAGTAACTCTGGATTCCGTGATTCGGGAGATGCGACTTCACCTCAAGAGGAAATTAGAGAGCGAACCTCGGAAGTTAATCAAGAGTTGAGATTACAAAGGGAAAGCGAGAGACAGGACCCGGAATTTTTGGTCAATATGCAAGGGTTCGAAAGTGCGATTGATAATATTGTTAAACCCGTTAAAGAGGCAAGCAAGATCGGCTTAAGTTGGGAGTTTTATGACTTGTATAAGAAAGTTGACAAATTGACTGAATTAGTTGAACTTGTTGTTCGAGACAATGAACAGAAAAAGGGGGCACTATCGAGCGACACACTATCGAGCAAAGCGAGATAGTGGGGCAACACTTAGTACTTTTTAAAACACTATCGAGCAGAGCGAGATAGTGGGGCAACACTTGGTACTTTTCAAAACACTATCGAGCAAAGCGAGATAGTGGGGCAACACCTTGTTGCTTGTTACGACACTATCGCCGACACTTGAATTCTCTAGTTCTCTACATAGTGAGTAGCGAGTCGTATATAATGAGTAGGGAGTAGTGTATAGTGAGTAGTGAGTAGTAAATAGTGAGGTGCATTTTCAGACGGTAAAGATATGTATTGTAGAAACACACCTGAACCCTCTAGCTTACTCTCTACATCTTGCGTAACCAAACCTCTTTAAATGAGGCTTGCTACTAATAGTTAATAGTAATTAGTCAGTGTGCTCCACTATCGAGCGAAGCGAGATAGTGTCGATAGTGTCGATAGTGTCAAGCAGCTAGTGTGCTCCACTATCTCGCTTCGCTCGATAGTGTCGGTCGATAGTGTCGATAGTGTCAAGCAGCTAGTGTGCTCCACTATCTCGCTTCGCTCGATAGTGTCGCTCGATAGTGTCGATAGTGTCAAGCAGCTAGTGTGCTCCACTATCTCGCTTCGCTCGATAGTGTCGCTCGATAGTGTCGATAGTGTCAAGCAGCTAGTGTGCTCCACTATCTCGCTTCGCTCGATAGTGTCGCTCGATAGTGT